AAGAGAACTTCTCAGTAAAGGTTATTTAGAAACATCATGCATTTTCTAGCTGAATCAGCCATTCTTCAGTTAAATTCTGGAAGTGCCTTTCACTCGCCATCACGGGGCGGGGAAGAGGGGAGAGGCCAATGCAATTTTCCTTAGAAGTTCAAAAAAATTTTCACATGTCAGAGGAGAAAAAAAACAAAGAATCCTCGCCAAGATTTTTGTCAAAAAAGGAACACAAAATCAGGAGAAGGTATACCGAAATCCCAATGCATCTTTAAAAGTGGTATAGGTATTTACGTGAGCGACTCACAACCCCAGGGCTGCATCGGGACCCTCCGTTGTGTTGAAACCACGTAGCAGTCACAATCGTTCTAACAGCATACAGATTATTACAATGGTATCTTATTTCAGTGCATAAGCATTTTGATTTAAGCCCTTAATATAACAGTAATGCAAGGAGTTCCTGACACCCAGATCTGAAAGAAAAAAAAAGTCTTACCATATCCTTTGTGTGCAAGTCTCAAACTATGTTTTTATGTGGTCACTGAATTATGTCTGACAAAATGCCTCTCACAGAAACAAGGAACTTTTGAAAATAATACAGAAACAAAATGAAATTAGAGTGAATTGATTTATTGATTTAAAAGCATGCTATTATTCCCGGAAGGTACAAAAGTTAATGGTTTGAATTTATTTGGAAATTAGACAAAAAAACCCCCACCACTCAAGTAAAAGCTTCTTCAAACAGAAAGGCTCACCATGTTTCAGACCTTGTGGAAAAACTTCAAGTTCCTTAATCTGCTGTGACTGTCAAGTTTTCAGTTTTTGCCAATTATCTTAATGTTATGGATCTTAACAGTATGTCCAGCGCAAACTATATTTAGATTGTTTGCTCAATTCATCTGTGCCAGAAAGGAACAATTACGTTATTTTCAGTTACCACTACCATTGCCTGAATTTGAATTTGCAACAGTAAAGGTAAAGCTAGACGTTTCTATCCAATCCTCTGGGAATGCTTTTACTGAAAATTACTTACTAAGGAAACAGAACTTGAGTTTATGCGCGTTTTTGGTTGGTTGTTTTATGTTAATATTCCACAAGATATGCATTTCATTTATAAAAATTAAACTACAAACAGATTTTAAATGAATTTGTTCTCTGACACAGTTCTCATTTTGTAATTTTACTGTGCTCTGATTTTTTTTATATTTTCTCTCAAATTACAAACATAAAACCAAGCCAAGTAGTACTGGTTAAAGTTATTCTTGTTCCTTTAAGACAACAATCTTTAAAAAAACATACTGTGCAAAAAAATACCTTCACCACACACCACAAACCCCAAATAGTTAAAACTATTGACTATAATGTGGTATATAGCCATCTTCTGAATGTCGAAGCATGACTTATAAAAAGTACTTCACAACAAATGCTTATTTAAATCTTGCCACTTGTTTCTTTTCATACAGAGCAAAAATAAAACCACATAGCAATGATAACTCCTTATCTACACAGTTGGGGATTCAACATTCTGCAGGCTGCAGAGAGGCGAAAGCAGCAGCAGATGCCACTGGTCCTACCGCTTCTGCACAGGGCAGGGAGCACACAGCCCTCTTCACACTTCTTCCTTAATAGCAAAGACAGACTTAAATTCAGCACCTATTTTGGTATAAAATCTCAACTCAGAGCCAGATTCTGTTGTGCTAGGTGTCAGACAGGAAGACAAATAAAGCAGCAATCCATACTGTCAAAGGATTGTAGTTTTTAATTGAAGCACGGACAGATGATGCCTTAAGGACCAGGATAAGCAAACAAATTCAGTTTCAAATACCTGTTTTGGTACCAGTCTTATCTGTGTGATTACATGAACTGATGAAGATCACTTACATCTATTTAGCATCTATTTAGTTATGCTGCACACTGTCTAGATCAGTCCAATTTCTGCCACCCTCAAAGTATCTTCAAGATCTGGCTCTGCCTTGGTAGGCTGTCAAGGATCTTGTCTTCATCTCAAGCTTACCATAAACCTATTTAAATAAACCAGTGCCAAAAGAGCCCCCAAAACATTTAATTTGCACCACATCATCACTTCTGCTGCTGCCTTAATTTTTCTTAACTGTGTCAGAACAACTTTTATAGTCCCAATCTTACAGCTTAGCTCTTCTGTACTTAGAAATCTCTTCTGGTTTTAGGCCCCCATCTGACACTTCTTTAAATCACTGATAACTTGCCTTGTCTTCCATAGACAAAAATCTTCAAAAGTCTTCCATGCTTTTCCTATTAATTTCTCTCTTGTCCCTTACAAGCAGAACGTGCTCTCTAAATTAACATACAAAATTATTACCTCTCATTCAGTCACAAGCCCTCCATTAGACACCAAGAGCAAGTTACACTAAACTGGTAGCTAGGCAGGTGATAGAGTAAGATTTTCTCATTCAGAGAAATAAAAGTCTGGACACCAAAATACACAGTTGGCTAATTATTATTAGATAACTGTAATATCATAGAAACCCCAAAGGAAGATGAGGGGTCCATTTTGCTATGGGCCACTGGTAAGGGCAATAGACTGGCAAAGATCTTACGACACGGGAAATCACATACATGCTTCCTTAGTATTAGTGATGAGGTTAACAAAACAACAAAATCTCCCAAGAGCTACAGCTTACCCCTCTTACCAACCCAAATGTATCTGGTGAGCTGGAGACAGAACCACCAGCTTGTCAGTATTTCATGCCCTCAGCCAAACAGACTCACTAAAGTGCTTGGTCTCCTCAGATGAAACAAAAGTGAAGGGATTATTTTAGTTTTTGTACGTTAAGAGTTTTAGTATAAACTCACAAGAAACCAAAATGCCTTCACATGTCCTTATTTCTCTTCCAGCTATTAGCTAGAAATGGCATGTGTACCAGAAGATAGAAACAAATATTTTAAGCACTAAAAATCATTGACTTCTGCAAGTGATATGGTTCCTACTATGCACCTATCTTCTTATGACACAATTTTTTTTTTTTAAGACATTCAACTGATTAGTGCATAGCAAAAAAAAAAAATCCATGCATTCCTACTGCTGGAATAGTTTAGGATCTAAATGACAGTCTGTCTTTTCACTTGAAGGAAAAAAACAGGGCCTGATAGATTATATTGAGAAAACCAGGTTTTCTAATGGATGCCTGATCTTCTACGTATTTATCTGCGACTTTCAGATTCATATTGGAAGATGAAATGTTTCTTCTCATTAGTAACCTAAAAAAACCCATACCTAAACAAAAAATAACATACTTAATTGTTTTAACAGTCCCCAGGAAACAGATTCTGACTGCTACATTTGATGTAAAATGCAAAGTCCTACACTTGGGACATACTAATCCCATTAAACAGAGCAGGCTCTAGACTGAATGGCCAAAGAACAGCATTGTAGAGAAGGACCTAAGGGTCCTGGTGGACAGTGAGTTGAAGAGAAGTCACCAGTGGACCCTTGCAGTGATGAATGCTAACAAATAATGGGCTGCATTAGCAGGAGCATGGCCAGCAGGTCAAGAAAACCGATTACTTCCCTCTATTCAGCACTCATGAGATCACATCTGGAATACTGTGTCCAATTTTGGGCCCCCCAGTATAAGACACAGTAGGGCAGGTCAAGCAGAAGGCCACCAAGATGGTTAGAAGGCTAGAGCACACAATGTACAAGGACAGGCTGAGGGAGCTGGGTTTATTCAGCCTGGAGAAAAAGGGAATGTAATTGTTATTAACTACCAAAAATGGGGGTTATAAGAGGAGATGGAGGCACACTCTTCTTGGTGGTGTGCAGTCAAAGAACAAGGGGCACATTTTGCAGCAGGGGGAAGTCCTACTAGGTACAAGGGGAAAAAGAAAAGAAAAAAAAAAAAAGTGTTCACAGTGAGGGCAGTCAAGCACTGGAAAAGGCTGTCCAGAGTTGGGGGTTTCCATCCTTGGAGATGCTCAAGGCCTAGCACAACCTATCTGACTCCAAAGTAAGTCCTGCTTTGAGCAGGGGACTGGACTAAGAGACCTCCAGAGATCCTTTCCAACCTAGATCACCCTGCAATTCAATGTGGCACCCAGAAAATGAGAGCAGAACTTTCTGCGTGAAAGTCCTTTTAAGTGCTCCAAACAAATACTAATGCCTTTATCAGGCTAATATTATACTATCCTCAGTGTACAGCAAGTATAACTAACATTGGGATTAAAATCCATGCACTGTGCAGTCTTACACCGTAATCCACCTAGCTACTCTTTCCTCAGATGTTACACGCCAGCCCTCTTCACTGCCTGCCCCTGCCAAATCCCAGGATAACCCTTCAACCGCTCCATGCTCCTCAGGACTTCTCCTGGACTTCTCCAGGCCAGACTCAATGGCCTTTGAGCCTTCCCAATCCCACTCACTCGTTTGATTAACAGGCATCGCATCACATCACACCACACATTTCATCCAACTCCTGTAAAGTAATAGCAGTAACAGGACTTCCAGGCAGTATAGCTGCTTAAACTCATTTTTCACTTTCTCTCGCATTTGTCATCTGACAAAATACCATACGTCAGGATTTCATAAAGTCAGTCATTTGCAAGTTATCTGGTCAGTTCCTGAGCCTGCTTTCCAATCTAAGAGACTGAAATCTAAGAAACCAAGCAAATTTGGTCTTTGTAATTCCATGCCTAACACCACGGGCAAAATTTTGCCAAAAACTAGATGCCTGTACTAAGGCAGCATGATAAGAGAAGAGGGAGGAAAAAACCTCCCATTTCAAAAATAAGCATAACAAAATGCTTTTGTGTTTAGTTGGGGTTTTTTTTCCTTAAAAAAAAAAAAGTGTATGAGAGGACCTCATTCACAGAAACAAAACCAAAGCTTTTGATATATGGAAGTTCACATACAATCTTCATGAATCAGTGACATTTTTTGAAAATAGTTTCTGTGTTTTACAGCTTAAAAATCCCTATCATAAATATTTGAAAAAGATATTTTAAGCAATTATAAAGTTACTTTAGATAATACCTCAATACAAAAAATTACTTTTTATTAGGTTTACTACTTCCCTGAATTCAAATTCATCCTGACGTAGAATTACAAGGAAGAAAGTAGATCAGGAGACTTGATTTTCAGAAATACCAACCAAAATAAAGTAAAAACAGGGAGCTGCGTATAAGCATAGGATCCTCTTACACTGATTTCCACAGCAAAAAGCCTTCATACTGAATTGATCATAAATGAATCTGAAACAGTTTTCTCTGATGAACCTCATGAAGTAACAGATCCAAGTGCTGACAGTAATCTACACCCTTGTCACACACTTCTCTTGAGAAGCTTGCCGTAAGTGCCCGTGCAATTCTAGAAATAGGTAAGAGCAAATAGCAAATATGAACATTCTGCCACTGCTCGATTCCCCGAAAAATATCTTAAGCTTTAAAATTTTTTTCTTGATCTGACATGTAACCGAGAATATTCTCTAAATTACTTTTTCATGCAATTACAGTTTTCCACCAGGATATGTGAGAATTTCTAAACAATGACAGGGGTGCTATGTACAGACCTCAGGACTGCAAGAGCACATTCTTATCACTGCTAACACTTAATCTCAAAGTATGCTATGTCTTTTTATGCTGATGTGACTTTCATATTGCATCAACCCAGAAGTATAAAAATACTGAACGTAAAAAAATGCAGTATTAATATGAAAGCAAAACTGCTCTGCTCAATAAATTTTAGAAGTTCAAAACGGTTATATTTTTTGAAAATATTATTCAGTAACGGAAACCTTAGTTTAAAGTTCCTCGATGTTTCAAGTTGGGGTTTTCCCTAGTGTCTCCTGATATGCAATGAATCTTCTCAAATTCATCTTCACATTGTCAAGAACACACAGTTGATCTGTACTATATTGTCCTTTGCCTTCTTTTCGCATCTGTAAAACCAAAAAACATATACTTTACTAATGGATCAGTTTCTCCTATTAGATCATCTAAAGTTTACAGTAATTGTAAATATGTCTTCTATCAAGGCATGCTACCCATGCCTTTTGAGAACTCCAACATGTTCACGTGTGCACATGCGTAGCTAGATTATTTCTGCAAGGCAATTTACTGTAATACATCTCTGCCTAAAACTAGGCTACTACTGGCATGCTATTTCACTCATAAATCTGAAACATACACTTATTTTCTGTAGCTTTTTATATGAAAGACCTTGCACATCTCATTAACCAAACAACTGTAGCACTGTCAGGTATGTATTTTGTGTGTATAGTGCTTAGCTTTAAGACTATGAAAGTCACTCCTCAGGCTTCATCTGACTAAAGAAAAAACATATTGAAGGTCATACCCTATTTAAGACAAGGATGTACCTAAAATTAGTTTAGAATTTTGGCCTTGTGATTCTTGAAAATACAGAATACATGATCTATTTTAATTAACCAACAGCAGAACAAAAATGTCCTCCTGCAACTACAGCAAGTTAAAAACAAAAGACGTCAATGTAACTTTAGAAGGGACTTCTCTCCCACCAATTTAGCTGTTCTCCTCCAGAGACATCAGCAGCATTTTTTTTTTCACAAGGGTTTCAGAACAATACAGTGATTTCGACATCAATAATGCTGATGGTGTAATGCAGATGTTGGAATGCAGATGCTGCACTGTTACCTTGACAGTTCCATGAACTGCAAGGTAAGTGTATTTCTTTCCTCTAAAGCAGAATATCAGGAATTCAATTATCTGTTTTCTTTTTTTTGGGTCATCTTATAAAGCCATACATTCCTGCTTAATTATCTCTTCTAGCAGCCCAATCTCAAACCTTTAACCCACACTGTGTGTTGAGACCCTGAGCTGGCTGGCATTTGATGCCTACCCTCATTTTGAACACTGGCTGAAATTCTTTCAGTGCTGGAAGCAACTTGATCTGTACCGCCGCCTTTTCTGCTTCTTTACCATCTGCAAATACATCAAAAAGTGCATCCAAGGCTTCCCCTGCTACCACAAGAGAAGATTCCTTCATAGCAACCTCAAGAAGAAATTTTCCAATCATCTGAAATAAGAGAGAAAATTTGATTTTTCCGGCGATGCTTAAGGAAATTGAAAGAAGTATCAAAACTGTTTTAGGCTTGCAATGCAAAGTTCGATTTTTCACCTTTAGTGTTTCAGCTGTATCTTGTCCTTTTGCCAGGACGCTGCCAGAAATTCCAAGGATGCTCACTACGTTCACTTTAACGCTGGCATTGCTGCTGTGAATACCAGCTTCACATAAAGCCAATAGCTGCTCAGGAGTCATACACTGTTTAGCAAGGGGGTGGGGAACGACAAGATAGACATAGTTACATTTTCATGGAAATTCTCAAATATGACATTTGGATCATTTGCTTTTACAGAACACAGGCAAATTTATAACAGAGAAACAGAGTCCTCTATTATGAAAACTACATGAATTCTGAAAATGTAAGCAGCAAGAAAACAGTTAAACTCTCCCTTTCAACTTTTTAAGGTGTTTCTTCCAGAACATAACCAAGGCTGTCATGAAGCTAAAGGAAAAAGTTCTGAGCCCAAAGGGATTTTCACAAACTTATCTAGCTCAGTAACTATTTCCAACTCATTACAACTTATAGTACAGAAGCTCATTTTTCAGTTTAAAGGAAGAAAGGACCAGCAGACCACCTAGTATTACGTCTTGTATAACAAACTACTATGGTTCATTCCGATATCTAGCTCACTAATTCATGTCCAGCCAAGATTCTAGAAGGACAACCAGCTTCAACTAGATGACATCAGGAAATAAAGAATCCACGTTTCTAGGTGCTAATTTACTAAATGCTTGTCATTTTATCCATCTCCTAAAGATACTACCTGTGGCTTATTGCCATTTTGGTTTTGAAATACCTTTCATCTGTTTCCATATTAAGGAGAAGATATATAAAGAAGTATTCCTGTAAGGTCCATGAAAAATACAAAGAGTGAATGCTATTAAATCTGTTCTTTCAGTGTTCACAGTTGCTGAAATTTAGCACTTCATTTAGATGGTTTTGTTTCAAAAACTTTCCAGCACAATCTCACATGAATTTGAACCTACCAGAGCATTTGAGTTTGAAAGCTTTTACCTGGGAGATGTTCTTTGATGCCATTGTTTGTAGGAGAGCCCTCAAAGCGCTGGTTATGGCTTCCAGGAATTCTGTGTCTGTAGGGAGTTCTGTCAAAGAGTTGAACCCAGAGCCAAAAGTTAAACAGGAAGATGAAGGATACAAGAAGCAAAGAAATACAAATTCCTTAATCCCTGAATTGTTCCTCCAGGTACTACCACAAACAGGAAGAGCTAGATTTTCAGAGACTGGTCTTTGTAGGTTGTAACTATAGTGATTTGTTTGAATTCAGTATTAATTGCATCTGGAAGTTAGACCACAGTTGGTCCTCATTTTCAGGCACATCCCTGGTTAAGACACTTGTGTGTCATCGTCTTAACTACAGAAGCTGACTGCATACTTCAACTCCTTTCTTCTGTCTTCCAAGCAGGCTTGTCAGACACCCAGAACACTGGACTCTTTCCAATTCATATAAAGAGCATGTTTTCTGGTGGTTTAATAACCTTTCAGAAATGTACGATTCAAACACTGCATTATTCTTGTTTGACTACACATTCATCAATACCAGCCATCATCTTCAATACATGTTCTGCATTTCTTGAAGCTTTTTATTTTCCTCTAACGTGCTCTTATTTTCTGGACTACTCCAGATGCAGAAACTCTTGATTATTTCATGCATAACTCCTCCTTTCCCATGTAAGCAACTAGATCTTTATGCCTCTTTTTCACCCTGTAAACCACAGAATTCCTTCTAACCACATGTTGGTATGTTATCAAATCTATCTGGCAGTTTCCATGACATAGCATTTAACTATTAAAAAAATAGCATGTTAACGAAAATGGACATGGGCCATTAAACTAATTTATTAGCACCCTCTGTCTTCAGCCAGCCGCTTCTCCAGTTTCATCTAAGAACTGACTATTGCGAAGCATAACATGTAGACCCTGAAATCTTGCAAGTCCTGCTCTTCAAGCATGAGACAAATATTTTATATGAGCTTCCTTGCATATGTCTTCATATTTATTTTCATTTCCTGCATTTTAGCTTTTCAAGCACTACGTGCTCAGTAATAATGTTCCCATAGACTGATCACATGCCTTTAATGACACTGAGAAAAAAGTGTGTTTTGCAGGCAGATGCATTTTCAAGCATTAATGCAGTGTCATACCATACACTACAGCACACAGGAACTACATACACCGCATTTGTGGCTACAAATGAAGATGCTTGAAGGAAGGGAAGAAAACTGAGCTTCTCAAGCTTCTAAGAGACAAGAAATGACAAAGCCATGCATATGCTAGACTTCAACAGATCTGTTTTCGGAAAAATGCTTTCTGACAATTTTGAGAATTGGCAGGCTTTTCCAGCCTCTAAGAATATCTTTTATTTTTTGAATAGCCATCATCACTGACCTAAAAACAAAAACAGATTATCAGAATAGTCTGAATGAAGCAGCCCGTCAGGGAACCAGATCATCAGCTTGGAATCACTTTTTTATTTTTTTTTTTGTAATCTCGGTTCAGCTTCTCTAGTGTCAGTAACAGAGACATCATAGCATAAATGGTCCAACAGTATTATTGGAATGATGCTGATCTGATGTATAAGATTACAGGAGGTAGATGGAAATGCTAACTGCTGCATGCCTACACTACACCATCCAATGATACCGATACTAGCAGATCTATGGGGAAACCATCACAGTATCTCTATGAAATAATGTGCCTTGGAGGAACTACAGTGGATACGTTATAGTGTTTACTGGGATATATCTGATATTCTAAAATAGTATTTTTAGAAAAATGAAATTTATTGCCTTCTCTATTGAAATCGACCACCACCATAACAGGAAGTTAAGCAGCTTTAATATTTAGTCATAAAAACTTTGCACATTTTCTTATTACAAATATATTTTCAGTAAAGCTACGCAATCATATGCATAAAGCATATCCTGGAGACAAGGCGGCTGCTATCTTTCCTACTGTAACAAGCATGTACATTCTGGAGTTTTTTGCAGCCACCACCTTTGCCATAATTTCATAAGATTCCTAGAAAAAATTATGTGAAAGACTGTGCTAGTTACCCTTTTTTTTCACGTCTATTTAAGCTAGTTTGCACATTTAAAACGAAAATGTCCTGTCTTCTTCATGGCTTGTCTGATTGATGAAAAACTGCCATTATTATCACAAATGTGATCAAGCAAACAGTTCTGGTCTCACAGCAAGGCAGGATTCATCCACTAACTTAGTGACTTTCTGCGTGCACACACAGAGACATAAAGCATATTCTTGCATTAGGAGCATACTTGCTCAAAATGCAATATGGATAAACACATCTTATCAAGGTACACCGTTTTGTCAGCACATTTCCAGCATTCGGTATCCTTATTTTGAAAAACCAAAAGGATAAAAATAGTAATAAAATGGCATTAAAACTTAACAACGTACATGGCTACCTTATATCTTTATGAAATAGGTCAGCAAGCCCCCTTTACATCTTACCCGTTTTAGAAAAGACTAGCTGCGAGAGATGCTGTGCAAGGGACTGAAGTGCTGAAACTCCTCCAAGACAATCCACATCTGACACTAACAAAATGCTATGAAGACATGTTAAGGCTCTACACTGCACTGCATTCAGTCTGAAACAAACAAAAAATGCACTTAGCAGATCTCTTTGAAAACAGATGTCGAAATACAAAGAAGGATCTTGAATTCAATAAGGCTGTGATCCGGTGTGCAGTTTACACAAACATTTGCACCTCTTTATTCAAAATCACGTATCAGATCTGCCATCGTCCAGATCTTAAAAGCAACCCAAAGATGGACAATCCTTCTAAGAGTTCTATAACAACTGAATATACATGAAAAATAGTAAGAGAGACAATGAAATTCCTACTTTTTAATTAATGGTTTCCAAGACGGATTGTGCATACAGATGTCTAGAGCAACACTGTTCGGAAAAGCAGTTTTTTCAAGAATCTGGGGAGGGGAAAAAGAAAGGTTAAGCAATAAAGCTTTTTTTTTTTTTTGGTGTGTTTGGGGGGGGAAGACTGAAATTTTAGCTTAATGTCAAACAGATACTTCAAACTACGTATTTCAAAGCTTTCCAGGTAGCAAGTGTATCACCTGCTAAAAATGCCAGAATCTTCCTCAATCACTCAAATGGTGCAATTACACACTGGGTTTAGCATAGCATATTTTAAGTATCCAACTGTACTGAAGAAAAGGTGATTTTCTAGGTCTCTGCTATTCTTTTTTATTTAGATCTTTCTTCTTACAGATTCCGCTACAGATTTTCAGATAGCTGCAAGTCTGAAAGACCTTGCCATGAAATTTAGACTGCTTGCTATTAAGTACAAAAAGCCTTGAATCATCTCGCACCTTGATGTCTTGGGTCAGAATTCTACCACGCTGCTGAACGAGCATAATAACTGATTCAAATGACGAACTTCATCTTTACAACCCCAAATAAGAATGAGCAAAACTCTGAAACAAGAACATCTGAATTCTTGTTAGTGTCAAATATTGTACTTCAGACACTATGTATAAAACAGGGGGAAAGAGGAACTCGCACTTTTTCAGTGCTGGCTGTTGCCATTCACATACGTTACTTCCACCTCACTTAGCTAATATGGAAATCTGGCAGTCATGCTTCTACTCAAAGTTTCCTTTCTTTTTGCAGGCAATCCTTTTCCACGTCCAAATCAAGGAATGACCTTTGTACTTTGGAAAAGCCAAATTAAGAAAAGAAAAAAAAAAAGTGCACCACATTTCTGAAACACATGAACCTTTTATTCCCACTTACATGAAGAAATTATTTAGGTCAAGACAGCTCACGTGATGATGCTCCACCTCTAGGCCAAAAAAAAGTGAAGCTAAACTGATTTAAAAAAATATTCTTCTCCAGATGGATTGGGATAATTTGTTTGCCTAACCTGGGATACAAATCAGGCACAAGGGAAAGACTGTACCATGTATTGGAAATAAAATAAAAGACAATACCTTCTTTGGAATGAGGTTGTTCAGAAATGCTGAGTTAACCTCATCAGAGAGGCACAGAGGTGACATTAGCAGCCCGCCCCCCTCATTGTATGAGTTTTCCATAAACAAGTCGCTTTCATCACTGCTGGAGAGTTCTTCCCATTCGTCATCAGAGGGATCTGAGAACAGAAGACAGTCTTGAAACATCACTTATGCAATAGGTATCCTACTTCCCAATTAAACTTGGCTCCAGCTCTTGGTTTAGGAGTCTTTGGGCTCTAATGAAGTCCACACAGACCAAGCGCCATTAAGCCACAGTTCTATATATTGTACTACTTTTGTTTAAATTGTTTTATTTTACAAAAATATCTATTTTCTAGTCACTCAGGCAAAAGTATTCTTATGAGAGAGGTTCTTCATACATGGGTACTTCCTTCTCTGATATTAACTACGCTTCACTTAAAGATATCAAAAAAAGTACAGAAGAAATATTTCATAAAGCATTTACTAGGATTTTAACTTGGATTGTACCATTTTACTTTCTGAGGTCGATTCAAGCATGCAAATACATCAGTTTAACTTAACTTGTTTACTAACTGCTATCAGTTTAAGGCAACTATTTTCCCTGGCAATACTGAAGCCACAGACAGATGACCTCTGACTGGGCAGTAACTGGGCTGGATGAAGATGTTACCGTCTCCACAGCAAGGCCAGTTGAAAGGAAGTGACGACAGCAAAACAAGCCAAAGCAAGCCAGATCATCTCTGTTAGCCATCTCAGGCAACATATTTTAAGTAAATTAAACTAGGTTTATACTTACATGATTTACTCTACTAGCAGATCTGTAAGGGCAAACATGGCAAGAGGGGTTGAGGTAGTGTTACCAACGGGCACAGCTACTGTAAAGTGAATGATCTGTCCATGGCTTAAGGCGGACTTGGCCTGACAAGCACAAGCTAAGTCCATCATTTATATTTAAACTGATATATCTACGTCCACAGAGTTTACACTGATTTATCTAAAGTTGTTTTAAACCTGGTTACATTTTAACTGGTGTGACACTGGTGTTTACGCAAGTCCTAAGTCTACAGGTTGGACTGATCCTCCTCACTGACAGGTGAAAGCTCTGCTTGCGTACATAGGTCAGGATATTTAACTACTGTGACGAAAAAATATCATATTCAGCCTCAAGTAATTTTGTCTGACAACACAGATTCACATGAGATCCAGGTACTGTGGTAACTATGGTAACAGCCATGCACTTTTTCTGTGGCAAAAGATAAATTCATTCATTTAAAATACAGCAAGAAAGTCTAAATGAATGCATTTCACCTGCACTGTGCGGCAGCTTAAGAATTTATCTGAAGGTGATGACAACTGTTATCTGGTGCAAAGTAACTCATCAGGCTGTGGCAACTTGATCACACAGGCATCTTCTTTTGCTTATGGTAATATCTAATTAATTCTACAGCCATAATATGCTAGTGTTAATAGCCTTTGCATGAGAAAACAGTTGTCTTTTATGCTTTACTAACCCACAGTAGCAACAAGCGTGAAAACAAAGCAGACATCCCCCTTTCAGTCAGTCTCTTGCCTCTTCTAAAAAAATTCCATCTGCATCTTTAAAAAGCAAAAACAAAGATCTCCTTTGAAAATTAAATTATAACTATATGAGCTGACCATGCAATTCAGCAACAACAAAGACAACAGTCATCGTATGTTCACAGTGAGTGACCAGGGCAGAGCAGGAACCGGATTCTGGTACATTAGCCCATAACTAAGATCAGGTTTCTTGTAACGTTCTTGGAAATACAGAAGCATTTCCAATGGCAATCCCATCTCAGCTAGCACTGGTAACCTACAAACTACAGACTGGATAGCAATGCTGGAGTCTCCTGGATGCCTTCCCGTGTCCCTGTTAAGGGAAGAGCACTCTCCTTCTTCCAAACGCAAGCCAGCGTTCAGTAAAACACATCTCTTGCCAGCCTGGTCATTTCCCTCAGTTCTGAGGCAAGCTGAGTGTTTCTATGAACTCAGCATAATGGCTAGAGCTATTTTAGTCCTCAAATAACTTGAAAATTAAATGAACAGCTGCCTCTGGATTCCTCTTTATTTCTACAGACTATTTTTCCGTCTGCCCATGAATGGGTAAAGTACTGTAGTGAAACACAACACAATCAACCTTACATTACACTGAGTGAATGGCAGAATATGCAGCTTATCCACAAGAGATTTTCCAATTAAAGGGGAGAGCTTATGAATTACAGCTCATTAGATGAGAAATGCAGTTATGAAATGAACTTCATATACTAGGTGCAGAATTTCCTTGCGCTGTAAGAGAAAAAAAAAATCACCATTGGGAATATCTGGGTATTACGGCGGATTTTATTAAAACCTGAAAGATTTACTTAGAAAGTTATCTCCTACACAATTACTTTTGCATCAGGCTCATGAACTGTACTAGCAATTACAATTTCTAGGTTTTGGAGGAGTTTTTTGAGTTTTGGGGGTTTTGTTTGTTTTTAAACAGAATCTGAGAATCATTTATTTTCCTGAAGATTCGGAGAAAAGCTATCAAAACTGAGTATCAGAGCTCATAGAAGATACAGAATATCTATTTCCTACTCCCCCCAGAGTAACAGCCTTTCTTTCTCCTCCGAAAAAGCTCATAGGTGGAACTCTGAACAGCCTAAATCTGTACTGCTGCCAGATTTGCATGCAAAAGCTGTCTCTCCTCCTTCTTCTGCAACACTTGTAGTATCAAAACTAAATCAAAACTAGAAGATTAACTGCTTTAAAAAATTGATGCCCCAGTCCTGCAACAGGATTCAAACCCACACTGTATCAGATGAACACTCAGACCACGCTCTAACTGAACAAAGAATTTGCTGTAATACTTTTTAAGAAATATCTCTTCGGCACAAGTGCTTTTTTTGTTTGTTCTTAAATGTTGGCACACGTAGTATCATGCAAAAATATGTAAGGCGATAGAAATTATTTAAATGAGGAAAAAAAATACTTAAATTAGTAATAGAAATTACAATCCAATCTGCCCCCTAGATGAGGGTATCAGGGACAAGAAGTCTATGTGCATTCACCCTTAAAAGCTAAGATCACCAAACAGCAAACTAAACATGATCTATTCCAGGGACCACAACACTTGCAATGAAAGAGATTCCTACAAACCTTCACTGCAGCACATATTAACAATGATTTCCAGAGCAGTCTGCTGAGCCATCAGTAATGCTGTCACTTCTTTCAGTTCCCACTTATCAGACTAAAAAAAGAAAAATATGAACCAAATTTAATTTTGTAAAACAACATTTCAGCGCAATTTAAAGTACCCAGGCTGCCATTTAAAAGCACAATCCAGATAATTCCTCTTCTCATCCCTCCCTATAAAAAAAAAAAAAAGGCAAACAAAACCAAGAGGCAAACAAAACCTATCATCTTTCTGCTGGATGCTTCAGAACAAATTTTACCTCTAAGAAACGCCACCTGCACTAAAGCTGTAACAGAAAAGATTACCTAATGTTAGCTAAAGCCCTAACAGAAACATTTATTTCTGTTACTCATTTCATGTACGCAATAGTGAATGCATTCATTACGTCTGTGCCATCTCCACTCACAACTGAATGGTTACAACCACTAAAAGTCTCACTTGCCTTATGCAGAGATCAGAACTTCCTGCAGTAGCTACAGGGAGAAGTGTCAGATAAGCCTATACCTTCCACTAGAGGAAAAAAAAGGAAATGCGCTTTCCTGATGTGCCATGCAACTTGCTTACATTTGAACAAGTTGAGCTGAATTCTCCATGCTCAGCTTTGAAGTTTTAGCTAAAATAGTCAAGCCATTTGGGAGTTAGGATTAGTAACACTAGTAGGTAGCTACTCTGGGCTAACGTTCAGTCAAGACCAGTCAGATGCTCAGCCAAATGCACTCAGCTCTCCGAGAGCGAGCCAGCCAGCCACACTTACTGGAAGTAGGTCTGAAATGTCATTTTCTCTTCTGACTTTTCCTTTTGGTATTTCTTCCATGTCATCATCTTCAGTCAAAACACGGCTATCTGTAACATCACTCATGTTTTCCTCAGCTTCTGCCTCCGCAGCAAGTTTTAGCCTGTTTTTTTCAGCTTCATTCATACGAATAATTGTTTCACCAGCATCTATTGCTAATGATTCTGAAAAAATCTTCAGGATTGCATTAACCATGCTTCCCAGGCTGGCTGTTGGAATGGTATCCTTGATATTCCAGAAGGTGCCTAAAATGAGATAGTTGAAATATTAAAGTCTGTTAAAATACTCAATTCCCAGCTCTGTAATAGCCATATATTTTGTAAGGACACAGCCTCCACTAGTTAAAATACTCAGTGCTTATATTTCAGTACGAATGTTCAAGTCTTTTCTCTACAGACTTGTATTTTTTTGTTTAGCATTTCATATACTAATCTGTAGTAACTATGTTATGCCCACATCTTAAGCTTAAGTAAATTTCAGCATGTAAGGACATACAGAATATTTATGCGGAGCAATCTTGGTGACACTTTTTACCTGTGATAGCAAATCCACACAAGATAACCATTTTCTAAGGATCCTCAAATTAAACTTATTTATTACACTCCAGTATCAAAAATCACCGTGGTTGAGCATTTGAGGTGGAAAGAAGAATGCAAGATAGAGAATCTGAGGTAAAAACCTACGCCTATTAAGATCAAAACAATTCTTGTACTACTTACTGACTCATTTCACTATTGAAAACCAATGAACAGTTAAAATGGGTTCTCACACTGAGCAGGTACTGAATTCAGCATCAAGCATTTAAGACAGTTTTAAAACTAGTTGCAAATATTTGGTTACTCCAAAACACAATCCCAAGAGGCATAAATAACCCCATGAACCATCTATACAGGCTTTGACGATCGGATGTCCAGACTATAGCAGAGAAGACTAAGCCTTCTGTCCTTCTGTTGTGGTTTAACCCCCGCCAGCAACTACGCCCCACACAGCTGCTCGCTCACTCCCCCCCGGTGGGGTGGGGGAGAGAATCAGAAGAGTAAA